TGGGTTTTTATTCTTTTTTTTTTTAAGTTTCTATTTTCTTTGTAATTTGTGTGTATGTGTATTTTAATCGTATATGAGTTGTATAGTTGTTTGATTTTGCTTGTCTCGCATTCGATTGTTGGTGTTGGGTTGGGGCCGCTGGTTATGGTGTTTTTCCTCTTTTTTTTTTTTTTTTTCCGATTATTTTCCCTTTGGATTTTTGGTTGTTTAAGTTGTTTTCCATTTGTTGTGGTTTGATTTTTGTGAAGCTCTTCGGGTTTATTTTTTGGTATTTGTGTAGGATTTTGGGTCGTGTTTGTGGTCGGTTAAGTGTGCACTTCTTGTTCTGATTCTTCATTACGCCATTTGTTTCAACCTCAGTTATTCACAAGTACTTTTTTTTCTGTGTGATTTTGTTTTTAATGTTTTTACGTATTTTTTTTATTTATCTATTTATCTATTTTGTAACTGGATTCATTTCTGATTTCGTTATTTGTTGAACCATTATTCCATTGTTTTGCTGCTATTGCTTTTACATGTGTTTTATTTATTTCTTTTTTCTGTTAATTCTGAAATTTTTATGGGCTTCTATAGAGGTTTAGGAATGGGAATTTGGAAAGTTTAATGTGAGGGAAATATAGGGATTTATGTGGTATAGATGAAATTTTATCATCGAAGAATTCGATATTTTATTTAAATTTTATGTATTTTGGGTTCGATTGGAGGGAAATTAGTGGATTAATGAAAGGAAATTTTTTCGTAGAGGATGGAGAAGTAATTTATTTATTTTTTTTTTTGCTTTTTATATTTGAGTTGGTTGCTAAACATGATGAAGTGTGCTGGTTTGTGTTAGTAATGTTGGAGTTTCTTGAACTGGTCTCACAGTTGATCACATGCAATTAAGCTTTAGTTTCTAAAGCTATACTTTATTTGCTTATATTCAGGACTGTCGAGGAATATCCATATGCACACCTATGTTTATATCAGAGTTTCACAAAGAAGTATTCTGATCTGAAGAAATCAAATTAAAATATGAAAGTCTGAAGAAATGTTGATGATTGTCCACACATGTATGATGTATACAACTCCATTGATTTTATAGCATGTGGGTTGAATGAAGATTATCAAGGACGAAGCTTCTTGCATGGTAGATTGGTAGTAAATCTTTGCCCAGAACATAATGAGTAATGTGTAGGTGGAGAAGAAGAGAAGCCCTGGGAGATCCAATAGCAACACTCTTAGTGCGTGCTCATTCATATTCATGCATTTTAGTTAGCCAAACGCCCGTAAATTCCCAGGACTACTTAAACCCTGTCAAATTGATGGGATGCTATAGTGGTAGATTTGAATCCAGTCATTTACTTTATTAATTTATAATTTATACATGGCTTAGTTCTTGTGCAGGATACATAGCACTGAATGCTACTCTGCGCAGAGATGTAAACGGTTGTTTTGATTCCTAAATCACCTTTTCATTTAGGAACAGTTCGTTAAACATTGTTTAATCGCCGTATATTGACAACGATGATGGGTATTGGTAGTGATTTTCAGTTTGTATATGATAAAGAAAAAGATTTTATATTTTTTGTAATTTTTCACAACAAATGTGCACACGCTTGTCCATAAATGCACATTCTGTTATTCTTTTTTTTTTTTTTTTTTTTGAATACACAACTAATATGCACAAATTGCTTTTATCTCAGGTGAAAACACTTAACAACTGATGTGCACATTATATTTATCACAAGTGCACACAATTCACATCAAATATGCACACGCTTACGAGTTCCTACCTCACATCCATAGCACAGTTGAATACCATTATGTGGTTGAATAATGCTAGATACCTAAACTAATTTGAACAAGTTGATCACTACTTTTGTTTAGTTCATTTAAACACAATTATGGTTTATGTTTATGATGTATGAGAGTTAATTCTGGGGTGTTTTGTCTTTTTTTTTTTTGTCCTTTTTTCTGATGCATTTTTATAATGTCGCACACAGTGTTAAACACGTTTAGGGGGATATTGGTGCATGCACACATTCCTTAACTGAAGTGCACATAGTATTTCATATAACAGTTTTTTTGGAGCATGATGACACAAACTCGTTAACTCAAGTGCACACGGTATTTCGTATAATAGTTTTCTTAAGCATGATGGCACAAGCTCGTTAACCCAAGTGCACATGGTATTTCGTAAAGCATTTTTCTTGAGCATCATGACACAATCTCATTTATCCAAGTGCACGCCCTAATTTATCAACCCAAGTGTTCACTATCCTATTTTACGTCTTCCATACACACACTAATCCTACACATTATGGCACAGACAGTGTAACCCATGTGCACATCCTAGCCTGTCACCACACTCATTCTGTACGTTATTGCACACACTTTTTTACGCAAGTGTACACCAAAGTCTATAACATCATCCTAGTTTTCGTAGATTAAATCTCAATATTTTGGCACACTATGGAACAAACAGTTCAACCTAAGTGCACGATAACTTGTTTTATGCTTGTTCATGGCCCACTAATTCTACACATTATGGCACACATGGTGTGACCCATGTGCACACCAACTTCTTTTACGCCTTTTTGTGCACACAGAATGGCACACAAGGTGTAACCTAAGTGCACACTATAGTCCATCACATCATTCTGGATTCTGAAATTTCATTTTGTCAGTATCGCTGCACATTTTGGCACACACAGATAAACTCAGGTGCACACTAATCTGTACTATGTCTTTTCATACACACACTAATTTTGCACATTATGTCACATATAGTGCAATCCAAGTGCACACATAAGCCTGTTAAATCAAGTTGTTATACGTTTATTCGTACACAAACATGCCTTATTGAAGCTTCACACTCTGGGCCAAGTACTTCTTGATCCTGGTGAAATATTCATTAAATACCTGGATGAACTCCCTGATGAGCCGTCATGATCAACGAAGCATTAAGGCTACAATTGCTAGGGAACACGGGTAATTGGTGCTAATTTCCCAAGCTTCTTTCATGCCGTCTTAATTTCTTGTAACAGGAGTTATAAGAACTGAACATGGGTGATTCCTTGTTGTAATGTAACTTGTATACTGTGTCATGATTGGTTCTACTATGTGTGTCTGATGTTTTGCAGGTTGAAGCCTCAGAAATCAGGACGATGTGGTTAACTATGGCGTGCACTTGAATTTGATGAGTGTGTCATAAGGCTCAGAATTAGTTTCTGCAGATAAAGGCGTTCCATGTGTTACACTATGTTTGCCATAATTTGAAATGTTTGTTGTGACCATGAATTGACGTTCACTAATTTTAGAAGCATGTGCACACTAGTTTCTTATTCGTCTTTTCGTACAGAATCTAGTTGTAGCCATTATGACACACGCGTGAAACCCAAGTGCACACCATAGTGCACCGCCTCATCCTGGTATCCTATGTTTCAATCTGGCAGTATAGGTGCACACTTTGGCACACACACCATAACCCAGCTGCACACTAACTTTGTTGATCCTGGAGAAACATCCATCAAACACCCGTTTGAACTGCCTGATGAGCTGTCATGACTTGTAAAGCGTTGTACACATTATTTTCTCAGTATATGGTTAAGCTAAGTGGCACAAACATTTGGTCCTATGTGCACGCATTCAGGTTTCCTGTGGCCTGTGTGGCACAGTAATTACCTCGTAGTTGCACACACGATTATCCCGCCCTCGTAGAATGGGATGTGTACAAGGGCACATACATTCTCCGTTGACGTGATTTCCGCATGCGCACTTACCTTGAGTTGTGAGTGCACACAACCCAAGTGGATGAGACAGGTGGAGGTGTGCACTCTGGCTTCACAATTTGTGTCATAATAAGCAGAACTAGTGTGTGTGCCAAGCCAGATCACCCAAGTATGTACAAACCATTGTACTACATCCTTCTCTTAAGCAACTTAGAAAACACAAGTCAAATGCCAGCACACCTCATGCGATTGTTTATGCAGACATACCGGTATTCAATCACATCCCAAAGAGAAGGATGCACACAAAAGGCGGACAAATAAGGTGTCAAGTAGTACAGTTACCTTCAGTGTTTCCACTTACCATTCCTTCGCAGCAGTTGCCGTTCATCTCTTTTCTCTATCGCTCTCCGAATCCTCACGAACGGTGGACGGCCGTCCGGTAGTAACTAACGTAGATAAGCCGATCGTAGTATCTCAGTTTAATTGGTCTCCTTCCTTATCTTGGCTTCCTAAAATCTTGGAATGAATCCAAATATTTTATTAGTTTATAATAGGTACCTAGATAAAACTACACTATTACCCTTTTGAATTAATTATGTTTATGATCTAGATTAAAATTGATTAACTATCTAGACCTTTGATTGATCAAATTTTAATGGTTTGGATAAGTTCTTAAGTTCCTACCCAACAAAGGGTTCTCACTTGAAGGCCTCCCTATATATATATATATATATATATATATATATATATATATATATATATATATATATATATATATATAAAATCCAATTATTTAACGCTATCATTAGTTGTAAATCATTATCATTATTATTACCTTGTTAACACATGCATGCAATCAATCATCATAAGCCTTAGCAAATGAAACTGCAACATGTTGAACTTCTTAAATTAGGGTATTGAAAACCAGAAACAAAGCAAGTGTTCTTATTTCCCCTTTCTCCCATAACAGTCGCACACTGGTCAGTAATCTGCAGGCAATTTCGTTCATCACCAATCACATATTCACATTCATAAAGGAACGAAAAGAATTAAAAGAGAGGAAAAGGAAACGAGTCTCAATCACGTACGCAGTGTGATACACACTATAGCTGATCGATCTGAAACAACCCATACATGAATCCAAATATTCGAAATGAATGGCATGGATCAGGCCAAGTGGCGCATTAAATATACAGTGTACACCAGTCATGAGAACTACAGCCCCTAACAAAATTGTCTCCCCCAACTCGCCCACCATCGCGTTCTGACATCTTTTGCCCTTTTGGCGCCTGTGTACCATTCACCACTTGGCCAACCAGAAAAAGGAAAAATCCAAACTTTGAAGAATGCTTATCGAAGGGTTTCAGCAAGCAAGAGTGTGTGCCACCACCCACAAGCAATGTTTTTGGGGGTATAATCTTCCAATGGAACTTGAGCTGGGATGTTTCTGTCAATTGTATCGCCTAAACCTAGCTGGAGAATTAGATATCAATACAAGTATGAACTCATGTCAAGCATTCAACTGTTCAAGAAAAGATAAAACCAACCCGTAAGGGCTGAGCTCATTGGTTCAGTAGATAGTATTTAATAGGAAAGACCAAAGTTCGAAACTTGACAACGTCAGTGTGGGGATTATGCCCAAAGTGGGCAGGGCAGATCCCTTGTGCTCATCGTCTGATGAGCCACTTAGTCACTATGATTTATATCTTTCCATGTACTCTATCGAGCCAGAGTGTGAGGCCCTTGGGGTTGGACATGCAACCTTTTGGGAGAAGAAGAAAAAGATAAAACCATATTGCAGCAGTCCCATCTCATTCACATACCTGACCATACTTGTTCCATCCCCAGGAATATACTTTGGCATCTTCTGCGAGTTTTAAGCAAAACAAATATTAATATGACTGCCCATTCTTTACCATTATAGTCTTCGTTTTTTTCTATGAATTGAATCAAGTATGGTGCCACTAAAATGTTCCCATACAATCAGATATTACAAATACAAATCCTAAAAGCCTAGAAATGGACTTTGGATTTGAGTACTACCTGTCATTACAGTGCTATGACGAGCTCCACAAGATATTCTTTTGGCATTCTTACTTTCCAAAATGGTAGCATCAACGAGCCTAGGTGTCATCTGTAACATTACATGTTTGCAAGTTTTTAAATATGCTCAACGAATAAATGTATAATTCTAAAGAATGAAGGAGTTATTGCATAACAAATATAAAAGGGCTTTTCATTGTTCATTTGCTCCTAGAATTTGTTGCATTTGAGGACCCAAAGTATTTCTGGTTTGAAGCTCAAGAAACTGCTAGCTTTTCATATAGACTGACTAGTTCCCGACTAGCAACCCATTTGATTGAGTTTGCAGTTTCTAGAACTCTTAAAATTGTCATAATATAACATTCTTCCTTTCTCACTAATAATATCCTAAAACCATTGAATTATTTTAGGATTGATAGAACAATAGAATAGAAGCAAATAATGCAAATAACTCAACATTACAACAATGATATTTATTATTGAATAAAAGATCAAACAAATAATTGAGCATCGAGTACCTCAGACTGGTCAGTCCCTGTACCCAAACCTAGCTGCCCAAACTGATTTCCACCAAAGGCATGCACACGACCATCAGCACATATGCATAATGTATGCCACAATCCAGCAGCAACATCTTCAACTCGAGTGCTCAAAAGAGAAGGCACACAAGTTGGTCTCAGCACATCATTTGTGTTCCCTTGTCCACACTGAATAAGAAAATTGACTACAAAATATTCAATAGAAGACTGGGAATTTTTTTTTTTTAAAGGAACCTATGAAATCATAATGAAGAAAGTTAATGGTTTCAAAGGGTCAGGGTTTATACTTTATGAAAATTATAGGTCCAACCTGACTGCAAGAAGAACAAAGACATTTAGCTCTGATTAATTTTACTTACGATGTTATTAGCCACATGTGACAAAGCTATCATGGTGTACAATCAACTTACATTATTCAAAGTGTTAGTTCCAAAACAAGATATCCTTGCATGAATTCTGAGGAAATTAAACACCCACCTGTCCATACATACCCCATCCAAAAGTAAGGAGTGCGCCGCCATCTGATATAAAAAAGAGAAGAGAAAACATATAATCAGAACTACTGTTTACAACACAAAAACAGCAGTTTTGAGTAATTCTGAAAGTTAATCTGTAAAATAGTGTTAAAATTAATTTCTGTGCAGTTTATGCTAAAACAGAGAATTAGCTCAGCAAGTACACTGCACACCGGTGAGGCAAGAAATGGTTAAAGCATATAAATAATATCTTATTAGAAAGAACTCCAAGTGGTTCAACAAAAGAACAAGAGATCAAACATCACTTCTGACCTGTTATTACTGCACTGTGCCGACCTCCACATGCAATGCCCTTGATGTAACTTCCCAAAACATTAGGTGCTGGAGTTCCTGAATACACCTCTCCTGAAGTGATCCCAGAAGTCCTCTCTTTCCCACAGGTAGCTGGCTCAATACAGGGTATAAGATGAGGAGAAGCCACAATTTTTATCCGAGAGCCCAAACCAAGTTGCCCTTCACCTCCATAGCCCCAACCCCATACCTGTCCCACATCTAAATCCGGTAAAAATATTATGCATCAGGTCTCTTGCTTTACATTAAAGATCTTCCATAGCTTCGTACTTCATACCTACAAAACTATTTGGTGTAACCACAAAGGAAGAGTTCTACATTTTTAAATTGTGTGTCAAGGACAGTGCATATGAAGGAGTAGATATACCTGAAAGTGCTAAAGTGTGGCGGCCACCAGCAGCAACAGAAGTGATCTTGATACCTGGATCCAGTGCTACCAGACAAGGTGGAGCAGAAAGAGACTCATCTGCAGGTGGCGGACTTTCAATTTCTTGTTTAAAAGGTGAAACTTTTCTTCGCTTTGGAGTTTCTTCTCCAGTTTTCTTATTATCAAGGTGCAACACTGATACACCAGCTGATTTGGAGCCTTGAGAGCGTGGGCTCTCTGCAACAGTCAACGCTATGATCATATATATATATAGTTGTATATATTTGAATATAATTAACTTGGTAAAGAATATAGCTCATACAAGCATTATCACTCCCTTACCTTGTTCAAACAAGGCAGAGCTTTGTTTCCCTGAAGTGTCTCCTTCTGCTCCTCCTTCCAAGGTCAAACGAGTTATTTTCGCTGAGGGCACACACTCCTTCCATCCCCAAGTGTATACCTCACTTTTTTCTGGAAATTATGAGTGATTAATCAGAAATCATTTCACCTCTCTTTCCAGGTTATTTCAATAGAGAGATGGTCTTTGAGACCTACAGAGCTAAATGATTGATGAAGTTAATTTTTTGGAGGGCATGAGCAGTTTTTACCTGTAAGAGAAACACAATGTGCCCAACCTGCTGATGCCTTCACTATTGGAGTCTCAGTCGGAAGTTGAAATGGCTCTGGAGTTTCCTTAAGTATAGTGTGGAAAGAAGGTAGCAAAATCAATTCAAGAATAAAGTGTAATATGAGTCTATGGGTAATAGATTTGCTGCTTTACCCCATGCTTTCCTGATGTCAAGTAGCTTTGACCTTGATCATCTGCTGAACCCCATGTTATGAGTTTTCCAGATTCTACAAATTATTTTAACACATAAGTACACATATAATGAGAACTTACAATCAGGAAAATAAGGTCAACCATTGCAAGTAAACTAACATATCACTTCCAGGAAGATAACAATGGTGTTTGGTACAGATTAAGCTGATCATAGAAATTGTAAATTGAATAAATTATCTTCCATTTACAAATTTGGAAAAGCTTACTAGTTATGGATTGGACAAAATATTTGAGCTCATTTAAGTCAATAATCCACAATGAATTAAGTCACTTGAAGTGGATTAAGGACTATATATGATCTACAATCGTAGGTTTGTCAAACGGGATCAATATGGGGACAAAATTGATGTTCTATAAAGTAATCAGGTGCATTATTTTGTAATATCCCATATTGCTGGCAAAATAATGAGATTATATTATCTAGCAAATTCTGACTCTGTCATCTTTATGAATATCCATCAAAACCATTGTTCAGTTATCTCGTGCATTCTTTTTAGTAATATTCCATGTTCTTTGCACCATACTGAGATTATCTCAGCTGAAATGCTGACTATTTAGTCCCATTGAAGATCCATCAAAACCACATGAATGATCATGTTTGATTCTAGGATATGTTGCCTTATAAATGAGTATTCTTCCCCAAAATCTTTCGAACTTCAGTTACACTTTGATGATGTACTGTATCTAGAACCATATTCTGGTAAACAAAGTAACACCACCCATTCATCTGAGATGACTACTCCGAATGTGGCAAACCAAATGAATGTTTTCTAAGAATTCCTATTGTCCTTGTCTATCATTCAATTAGATTCATATCAATTGGCTTAGAAGTGCAAATATTGTACTATTACTCATTCTACATTTTCACATTTTCCCAATTAAAAATAGCAACTCCTTCTCTGGCACACAAACCTTACTCCACTGTCCACTCCATGCCCTCCAAAATATCTCCTTTTACTTTGAAAATAAGACACAAATTCTAACTCCAATCCCGGATCTTTATTAAACGCAGAAATCATGCTTAAAATAAAGTGACTAATCTTGCATTCTTACTAGGATTTAAGGAAAGTAAAAGACTGTCAAAGTTATTAATTAAGGTTGAAATAATCCACAGACAGAGAACAAACTCCAAACAACTAGCTTTGCAGCTTATCAACTAGAAGCTGGGAAAACCGAAAGGAATTTTTAAAACTGGAAACTTAAAAAAAAAAAATTATTAACAGAATCAAACCAAAGGCGGTTTCATCACTTTTCAAGATCTCAAGGTCATTAAAATCTTCAATGTTCTGAATATCAGCTGAAATTAATAGAACACTATATAGTATATACACACAGAGATACATGTATATACGTGCAGTGAGAGAGAAACAGAGAGAGGAATACCTGCAATGGCGATGGCGAATCCGCAACCGCCACCGCAAACATCCTTCCACGAATCTCCATCGATGCCGCTCTCCGGCGACGCCACGGCCACCGGAGAAACCAAAGGCGGCTTCTGCGATACAACTCCGGGGAGATAGCCACACATTAACACCTCAAACTTCGTCGACGTCCTCTTCTTCTTCGCATCTCCCTCCATATCCTCTTCGCTTCTACCATCGCCATTCATCGCCATTCTCTCCTCCTCTTTAACCTTCACTTCCAGAAGCAGATGGAAACAACCAGCTGGGAGAAATTACTATTTTAAGGGGCCAAATTTAATAAAATAAAAAATTAGAGGGGGGCCGTATCATTAACAGGCTAGATGTTCGTGCCACGTCGGATGGGGTGTGGTCCACGGGACACGTGTCGGGGACCAGTTGATAGTCGAGGCTTATTCCGTTGTCAGCCACGAGTTCACTCTGGAAGTTTCTGGAAACTATAAGGCGTGAATGTCACACTCCGTAATTGCGTGCCACGTGGTGGGTCATTTCGTTAATTGTTTCGTTAATTAATCTCGTTTTGGTCGGTAACGTGGAGAAAGCTGTCTGTTACGGACCGAGGGGAGTCAAATGTGTGGTGTCGATTATGCCACGTATCCCGACTTACGTGATTTATTTAATCTCAATTATTACGGAGACCGTAATGACCAGTTTTAATTTGTTATGTATTTCAATAACATAAATAAATGGGATTAGTGAAAGTAGCTACCTATTTAAATTCGATTCGGACGTTGACTAGGAATAGGCTTTTGGAGATTTGGATTGGTTTGCAATTTTGCATGATGAAAAAAAACATTATTGAATTTTTTGATTTGACATATTTTTATCAAATATGGAATATGGAATTCAAGTTGTAATTTGGTCGTGAATTATACATATATACATATGAGAACCACCCTCTTCGTGATAATCAATCTGATGCATTTAAAAAATTAGATCTATAAATGAGATTAGTTAGAGTTTTAAAATTTGTGTGTGATGAGATATGCGTTGTGTGCCTACCCCTAATTGCATACAGCACATGCACATAACACATGTTTAATATGTACACGGAACTCCTAATTGCACACAACACATGCGTAGCCTCCACTGAGGCTTGAACTCACAATCTTCCAAATGAAAGTTCAACCCAGGTACCATTAGACCATATCACCCTATATATATTATTTATTTGTTAAAATTATGCTCTTTTGTTAAAATTGTGCTCTCTTTATATATTTTAATCAATTACATCGTACTTATTATCAATTTATTTAAAAATCTATAAAGTCCAATATTGACAATTAAATACAACTATAATAATATAGATGCATATGGAGATTATGATTTTTTTTTTTAATAAAGGGTGTTTAGTGGTTGGTTTTAGTTATGTTAAAAAAACAAAACTAATAAAAATGGTGAAAATAAAATAATAGGAGAAAAAGGACTCTTTTTGGTAGTGTATATTGTAAAACTTATATGTTATTTTAAATTACCAATAAATTATAAGTTCTAATAAATAAAATAAAATTTTAAAAAATAACTTGTTTTGAAACAATACTCTCACAGCATTTCTAAATAAGTCTTGAACTTTTGATTTTTTTTTTTTTTTTTTTTACATATCTATCCTTATTAGTACATAACAAAAAATAACATCATATACAAATCTCCATTAAAATCTAAACTCCTCTCAATTTTAACTACAATATTATAACTTTATTATGAGATATTAGATAATAAGCGACATAATTTTATTATTATTGGTATTATTTAAAATAATTTTTAATTATTATGTAAAAAGATTTATTAATATACATATATTAGTATATTTATTAAACACATATAATTGATTAATTATAGTCATAGCAATAAAAATATAGAAGTGTGGATGAAATAACATAAGTCTATTCCTTGAAGTCCTTTTTATGAAATATATTTCAAAAACATTGTATATATAATTCGTTGATACCAAATATATACTGATAAGGGAATGGACTCTAGGTCTAAATCCGATTTAACCCAAAGAGTGGAGGCCTAGGGATTAGGTCCAAAGGATGGTTGGAGCCAAAGTATAATGTTTAGAGCGCCTATGCATGTAAGAAAGTAAGAGAATTAGGGGTGCGAATTATGCTAAAGATCAAAATGAAGGAGGTGAGGGCGTAAAGGATGAAGGTTGGCCTGGGATGGGTTCTAGAGTGAATAAAGGGAAAAGTTTGGGAGTCAAAGTGCGGGAAAGCATTAAAAATAGGTCCCATAAAGCGTATCGACTAAAAAGGGGACAAATGAGGGATTAAAAGGTGAGAAGAGATATAAAATGCCTAATTTGTCTAGCTAGAATATGTAATAGCTCTTGCAGGTCTAGATTTGACTTTTGAGCTTTAGTTTTCAATATTATTCATTACAATACAAAATGGTACCTACAACTTAATTCTAATTTATTTGATATTTGTATTTGTTCTTGTTACCAGCTTTACCTTTATAATTTTACCTACAATATTTATAAAATTTCATGACCCCTTCATATTTGTAATTATTGGTATTCGATATTATTATTATTATTATTATTATTATTATTATTATTATTATTTGGACAACCGTCGAACAGTTAGCTTACTAATTACATAACTAGTTTATCTTTTTGTGATCTTTTAAGTAAACATATTTTCAAATAACAGCTACTGTGAGATCTAAAGTGATCGAATGATTGAAATATACCTAAATTATTGTATTCATCTCATTAAAAACCTAAAAAGTTTAACTAATGGTGGATTTCATTATAGATATTGTTGACCTGGGAGTTGGGACAAGAGGGCAAGCTGGAAAGAGAGAAAACACTCATCCTCAATCATCCATTGTTGTTGTACCGCAGATTTGAAGCAGAGGTGCAGAAATTCATTAATATCTCCGCCACTTAGCCACATAATGCGTGGGCGGGCAGCTTCACATTCACTAAAGTAAAACAACTCAGGATGAGGTTGCCGACAATCTAAACGACACTTATTTCCAGCCCATTTAGATGTCGTTTTGCCCTCCGTCATGTCGGGCCGTCCAAACCCCAAATTATGCCCTGGACCCGTGTCCACAGTGAATTGTGGACACGGGCCCAAAACGACGTCGTTTTAAAAAAAAAAAACGCGTCATTTAGTTAAAAAAAAAAAAATCGCGCGCGTTTTACTGTTAACGGCGTTATTTTTTTTTTGGATTATGAATGTACAGTTATGCCGTTATGAATGTACAGTTATGCCGTTATGAATGTATAGTTATGCAATTATGAAATTTTGAACACAGAGCTCTGACATTATGACCATGGAGCTTTAAAATTGTGAATATAGAGCTTCGAAGATTATGAATGTACAGTTATGGAGTTATGAATGTACAGTTATGGAGTTATGAATCTACAGTTATGAGATTATGAATCTACAGTTATGGAATTATGAATGTACAGTTATTGATCGAATTATGAACAAAGAGCTCTAACATTATGAACTTACAATTATGAACATATAGTGATAAAATTATGAACATAGAGCTCTAAAATTGTGAACATAGAGCTTCGAAAATTATGAATGTACAATTATAGAGTTATGAATGTACAGTTATGGAGTTATGAATGTACAGTTATGGAGTTATGAATGTACAATTATAGAGTTATGAACGTACAATTATGGAGTTATGAATGTACAGTTATTAATAATATAGTAATAAAATTATGAATATATACTCCTATAACAAAGCGGTCTGAAATTTTTTTTTTTTAAAAAAAAAAAGAAAAAAAAAAAAGATAACAGTGCCTAACGGCACTGTTACCCATGTCCAACAAGCATGCTGGACACGGGTCCAACGCATAACGATTGGTGGTTGTCTATATGATTCTATTTGGCATACTTATTTATAAGTTAACATAAAATTAAAAGTTTAAAAGCTTACAGCTTTCCTATCTCTTCTTTTCCTCCTTATAGACTTATAGTCTCAGCTTTCACCCTACTGACCTGCTTTTTTTTTGGTATAAACCCACACATTGTGGTCCGGATCTTTCTCTGTCCGTTTAACGGTTCAGATCCATCCGGTTCGATCCGAGAGGCACAGAAGCTGGCCCAAAGGGAATCGTCACTTGTGGGAATTGAACCCGGGTTATCCCGGAATTCTCCCCCACAAAGAGAGCTCATTTGTCACTTAAGCTACCCTATTGGGTTCCTATTGACCTGCTATCACAAGTCACTAACCGGTTTTTGGGCTTTACTGCATTAAAATAAAATATTAATGTGTGTAATTGTAACTTTAAAAAGTTTAGGCACCTAATTGACTTTTTAGGTAAAGTTTGATGGCTTATTTGATCCTTTTCCCTTAAGTAAAAACTTGTGTGAGACCGTCTCACGGATCTTTGTCCGTGAGACAGGTTGGGTCAAGATGAAATATAATACTTATACTAGCAAATGTAATACTAAATCAGGAATAAAATATTTATTACTCATATGAAAAAATGTAATACTTTTACATTTTGATGTAAAAGTGTTACATTTTTCATCAAAAGTATTACATTTGCCTTTATAAGTGTCACAATGCTTAGCTTATAAGGGAAAATATAATACTTTTGATGAAAAAAGTAATACTTTTACATCAAAAAATAAAAGTATTATATTTTTCCTCAAAAGTATTATGTTTTCCCTTATAAGTTATAAACATTTTATTCCTAATTTAGTATTACATTTGCATATTGACCCGACCCGACCCGTCGCACGAATAAAGATCCGTGAGACGGTCTCACACAAGTGTGACCCTACATTTGTTAGTATAAGTATTACATTTATTTATATATTAACACGACCCGTCTCACGAATAAAGATCCGTGAGATGGTCTCACACAAGTGTGACCCTTTCCCTTAATATTATTATAGTTAGGGGGTGAGCATCAATCGGTTTCGGTCGATTTTTGATTTTCTCTTAAAAAATAAATAACCGATCAAAAAACAAAATAACCAAATTTTTTGACCTTAATAACCGAAAATCGAAATATTCCGACGGTTGGATTTTCGGTCGTTCCGGTTTTTGGGCTCACCCCTAATTATAGTACATCAAATTACTGTAATTCGAATTGAGGACGACAATGCTTAGGTTGTTTGTCTGCTTGAAATGGCTACATCCGATCCAACAGTTTCATATACTGCATGCAAGTACTTTAGATATGAGACAGCCTTGTCGAATATAATGCACGTACTCCATCCTTATAGAGAGAATATTGGAAACAGGCATCACCAAAGATGTTGCAGATTTTA